CAGCAAACCATGCATGGCTACCCCCTTGATATTGATTTCCAGTATTCACCTCAGGAGTTTGTGTTGTCTGCCACAGATTCGGGAGGGCTGACTGCCTGGGAATCCTTCACCATTGAGCTTCTGAAGCCCACAAACGTACCGTGCCACCTTTATACCATCAGAACAAAAAACAGCTACTACTCTTTCTTGAGAGAGAGGAAAAGGATTAGTTTGTTTCTAGAGAAGCTCTCCCTCTACTTGAACTCCAGCAGTCCCAAAGACATCATGGTGACTGCTCTCAAACCTGGGTCCACAGTAATCTCATGGTATAACAGCTCACTGTGTACTAGTGCCAACAGATCTTCCAGCTGGTGCGCAAAAGATGACATCCAGGAAGCACTAGAGAAATTAAGAGTGCCGAATGGGTATGTTAGCCCACACTTTGTCCAAGCAATGTTGCCAGAATACAAAATCGATGTAATTTTCAACATTTCATATAGTGAAGTCTGCTTTCTCACTACAAAGCCGTCCAATGGGTCCTTCAACAGTACTGTGCCTACAGTTCAAGACAAGAATGACTCCACCATTAGGAAGACCCCATCTGCTTTACTAAGCAGTCTTTGTGTCACCGTTGGGGTGCTTCTGATAATATTGGTTTACTGGTTTCGCAAGTATCACAGAAAGATTCCTGGATCACAGTCCATGACGTTTCACAGGAACTCCCAGTTAAGTCATGCTGGTGTGGAACTAGATGTCCTGAAACCTCGCAAAGCACCTGTACACGAGTGCAGGGCTTCACCTCAGTTATGGACACCACCTTCAGTATCACTTATCTCCCCAGAGCAGCACTCTAGGTCAGTAAGACTGCCTCACATCATACCATCTTTCCAGCCGCCAAAATACCAACTCCCTCCCCATTACCAAGAGGGTATGACTACCCAGAACGACCAGGGCAATATCCACAGACTTAAGATCTTTTAAATGATATTAAGAGCAAAGATACAAAAAGATAATATGTACTAGAATGTACTATCCTCATTACCCAGAAAAAAGTCATAAACTGTTACTGATTTTATCATTTTTCAATTTAAGATAGAACACATTTAACCTATGCCTGATGAAGAGGCAGTAGCAAAATCAGAACCCTGAAACTAAGTACTAGAACAAAATGCCAAGTAAAGCAGGTAAAGGAATCTCTAGATGAGGTGGGCAGAGTGATACGCCTGTACAAGTCAGAACAAGAGAACGTGTACCAAGCTGATGCTGGTGGGAATGTGGGGTCATAGCCAGTACTGAGTAAAACTATCTCCATTATGACTCCCTGATTCACAAATACACATTTTACACAGAAGATGCAGAACTGTCAGAAGGATGATCACAAAACATGATGTTTCCACTGAAATTTAAAGGTGCTACAACCCAAGTATCCATATCATCTTGGAATTTTAGATTAGTATTTTCAAAAAATGCATCCAGTAACTGTCCCTCTCTCATGGGTAACATTGTCTCTGTCCTCAATCTCTCAAAACTTTTAGTGCTTCCATTAAATACATTATATGTAGCATTTATAAAAACAACAGTAGCTATCTAACATGAAACTACCTGTTACATAATTGTGTAACATACTTTTAAAAATACATTTTTAAATTACAGGATTGCTTTCTTACAGTAAAACTGCCTCTCTTGTTTGCTTCCACCCATAACAGTTCCAGGACCATAGGGAAGAAAACATGTAGAAGAATTTCTAAAAGCTTTTCAAATATTATGAAATCCTTTCAGTTTAACATATAGATTTAATCCATAACTTAATTATGGATTAAAATACTTAATCCATTTCTTCCAAACTGTAAGCTGTTTCAGAACTGAGAAAATCTTCCTTAAACCTGAAAGCACAGTGTGAAACAGGACCAAAGTACCACCAGCACGACCACATAGAAAAGGAGATAGATACAGAATGCCCTTTCCAGAATTGCAACAGGACTTTACTGGAGAAGGTGGATCGCCTCAGATCACTGACATTACAACTCTGGAGACAGAGTTTCACTAAGCTGTCTAGGAACAAGAACTCACATATCCTGTCATGGTGTGCTCTTGCTGACATGGTAGGTAGTGGCCACCTATTGTTCTGATGAACTCTGACTAAGCAGAAGGGATAGAAGCCCCTCTGTTGCATACAGAGCAGCCCAACCACAAACACTGCTCTAGCAATGATGGGACAGAGAGCAGCGAGTCAGCCAAAGGACAGCTTTTGCAGGCTGAAGAACACGGACACAAACACATACTCATACTGTAAGGAAACCACGCAGAACTGGAAGCAATTTGGGAGAAGACTGCTGACCAGCCCAAAGGGAATCCAGCCCAGGGATAGATCTGGTAACAGTCTACAACCAGGAGATGAGAACAGCTCTCCACTGGTCCACTTTTACGTTGTGGTACAGATTAATATTTGCAAACAGCCAGATGCCAGCATGACGTACCAACGCAGCTCCCTGCAGCTTGCCTTCTGTTCAAACTTCAGATTCACACTACCCAGCAATTCCAATAACAGTACAGCTCAACCAGTAGTCTGACCCGGTTCCGAAACCAGGGAAGTCACAGGGAGCAAATCCCCTCTCCTGCCACCAGAACCCCTTTACATCAACCCTTCACCAGTCACAACAATCTAAGTTCCTCAAGGTCATCCTGTTTTCCACCACTGTGGAGTCCATGTTTTGCCTGTTACCTCTCCCAATCACTATTCTTATCTCAAATACCTCAGCCCTACATTGGGCACCAAAAAGGACTGTTGTGGTTTAGGCCGATCCGGCAACTAAACTCCACGCAGCCGCTCACTCACACCTCTCCTCAGTGAAGTGAGAGGAGAAAAATGTAATAAAAGGACTGAGAGTCGAGTAGTCATGGCATAGAAAAAGAATTTGAACAGCTCACTATCCACAAGTGTACCAAGAGCTATAGGACCAAAGTATTTGAACAGATTAAATTATATTTGTGTGTACACTCTGCATGTACAATCCACCTCTAGTTACAACATATTTGTGGAAGCAGACGAACAACATGCTCTAGTTGGCTGTCCATATGAAAACACTGATAACATATTATGTTCTTTTTTGGGGACAGCAGCTGCTCTGTGAAAATGACAGTAGTGACAGGATTTACATTCTTCTTGCATGAACGAGGAGCGCTTGTCGGGTTTACAGTGTCGAAAAACTTTTTGGATAAATACAAATTCCTCTAGCTGACTATTTCAGTGCTTTCCAGAAGCCATCCAGATATAAACCAGTTCTAAAGTCTGATGCAAAAGTCAACTAAGCAGTAGTTCGCTGTAGTCAATAGTCTAGACATAAGACCAGTAAAACATAAATTGAAAGGATTACTGCAGGAAACACCAGCCCTTGTAGTACCTCACATCTCAGTAAGTCTCTTCAAGTACTTAGAATACAGGCCCACCGTCAACCGCCTTGGAGAACTGGGCCCTGTTCACTTAATCACTGAGCAGTCTTACCTGGCAGATGTTCCAAAAGTGGAAAATGTAGTTAGTAAACAAGCTAAACAAATACATATTTTAACAGCAGGTGCAGAATTTTTCTTTTCCTCTAACAAAGTACTTCATTCCTGGGCATATTTAAGGACTGCAGCTGAATATTCACGGCACATCAGGAGACCCAATACACACAATTCCCCAAGGCACAGGATAAGCTTTTCAGTTATACTTCTCTAGACCAGCAACAACTTGCAGAAAGCTGACATTTACATGCTCCCTAGGTTCCAGACTTTAAAACTCCTTTAGTAAACAAGAGAAATATCCACACTGATATGCAGTGCAATCTCATTAAAACCAGAAACTTACGAGAAACTAATTTCATGGTAGGTTTCTCCATCAGAATATTTCAGATAGGATATCGAGAGATGTGGTGAGCCAGGACATGCTATTTTCAATTAAACAGTGAAAATAAAAGTCTTCAGACTTTACGATCTCCAAAAATTACACAGTTTCAGTAAAAGCTACAAAAGTTTTACAATATGATAAAAATACTATCATGCAAGTACTCTTTAATCACTCTCTAAAAATGGTTCTAAAATCATCTAACAGAAAACACATCTGCATCACAGTGGCTAAATCATCACCTTGAAACCATACATGGTACTTTAACACAGCTGAAGAAAGGACTCAGCTACCAAGGCAAGCAAAGAATACTTGCATGATATTTATGTTCACATCTAGTCATCACAGACCAAGGTATTTAAAGTTTCAGGTGAAGAAATATGAATATATTAAATTTAGTTTTAGAAAGCTCAAAGATGTGGCTTAAATCAACTTAAATTAACATATCGAATCTGTGAGACCTTCAGTTGCTTGTACAAGCTAGAATAAGGCAATAGGTGTAGATCAGAGAAAGGCAGATACATTTGGAGAGCTTAGCTATTTATCTTTCCATAGCCCACTCAAGTTGATCCACTTGGAAGTCAATCCAAAATCTTACATGGATTAGATCACAGATGTTGGATGAAAGAGTTTCCCTGTTTGAGAATTCTATTCTCCATAAAGAGAAAAAGAGGCTCTACTCAAAGAAACTGAAGACAGATCATCTACTTTGTCATTTCACAGCTGTTAATATTCAGAATAAGGCACCCCATGACATTCGAAAAGCTCAGACCCAAAACCACAGGTGTCTTAGAGGGCATCTTTCATCCAAAAAATAATTTAATGATTAGCAAAAATTTTATTTTACTTTTGTTTACAAAGACTTAACTCCAGCACAATAACCTGAAAGGCTTTTCTTTCTAAAGGTAATTTCTAGTCAGTTTTTAAAAGTCCTTAAACCAACAATTTTTATCTGTAAAACCACTCACTCTCCCATCCCTTAGTTCAAAACCAAGACTGGCATTTTCTTGGCTCAGTGACCAGGAACTCTGTGCAGTCTTTTTCATAATTGTGGACTCCTGAGGAAGTTTCGTATAAATAAAAGTATTAATGAACCAAAATTAACAATGTTTTCAGTTAATTATCAATTACTTGAAGGTTTTTTTTAAATAGTTATCACTGATTTCGAAATATTAAACAGTACTTATGGGAAAGGACTTTAAACTCTGACTAACATTTTTGAGTACTTGATTTAGTCCATGGCAGCACAAGTTTTCTTCATTCCGAAAACATGACTAAAATACTTCAGGACAGCTCCTATTTGCACACTATTCATTTAATGTGATACATGGGTTTCATATTTCATAGCAAAAATAAGAATAGAAAAATGTAAAAACCAAAACAGAGCTATACAATTGTACTGAAATGGTACCAATATCAATTCCAGCATTAAACATTTTTGCAATTCGGCCAAGTTTTGTCCAAAGAAACAAAATTAATCATCACTGCCGGCCTGCTTTTCCATTTTCTGTCGTTTCCATTCTGAAATGCAAGACAACAATTGGTAAGGCTTGTTTTCGGAAATGCAATCAACACATCAAAAAAAACCCAGACTTAAATGTATTTTTAATAAATATTTTTAACTTCATTAACCATGCTGGTCTCTCCCTGCCCGCAATGTACACAACCTTATCTCCTCCTAATACTGCTTCAAGCAGCAATCAGTACATAACAGAAAGGTTTCTGCAAAGAAACTTTCCAGCAACACCTGCAAAAAGCTATCCATTAAGATCCTTGCCAAAAGACAAAAGCCCATGTTCATGTGACTACAGAGAATCTATTTCTAAAACTTGAACTTTAGCAGTTTGTTTCAAGGTCTTCATTTTCACCCTTCTTACACTGGTCATTAACTGTCACCATCTTATTTACTTAAGGGGAGGCTGATTTGGTTTTTCAGTGGTTTTTGATAGAACATGGACTACTACCAACTTCATTAGAGCAGAGCATAAAATTCCACCACTCTATTATTGACAATATTTTTATATTAGCCATTCCTTTGGAAGCTAAAGCAAGCAACAGATTGGCATAACAAGTCTTAACTTAGCTACCACTTAGCCCCTTGAAGTGTGAGTTTTGCCACAAGGGCAATCACTAAGGCACAGGGAAGACCATTTATCAGCTTTCAGCCTTGCTCAGCACAGATGCCAACAACTGAAAAGTAAACACTACTGCAGTTCTCCATCAGTACTGAGACACAAAGGACAAAGGTATTTATATATTTTAATCCTCCAAAGAGTAAGGAGCCTTTTCAAATGCTGTAACTGAAGTATTCCTTCATACTGCATATTGACTACTGCTAAGATATTTGTAGTGATGCATTCACTGATACCAACCCATTTTCTTCTTTCAGATGTTGATATAGCTCAGCTTTATTGTTGACAGAGTTCAAACGACCAATAAATTCCTGGTGTTTCCTAGAGTTGGCAGTATTAATCCTGTTGCTCCATAAAGACAGCAAGGACATTGGCCCTAAAAAGACAAGTAAAAAGAGTTGAAGTGAATTAATTTCTGAATTCTTAAACATTATTTTATAAAGGCTTAGAAGAAATTACAGACTATGGTAGTACAACATATTAAACCCACTAATTTTAAACAATCTTACAATAAAGGCTAAATAAATACAAAATACGCAAAATGGTAACAGCTGAGTTGTTGCTTTGTATGAGATTGACTTTGCTTCAAATGCAGAATCTGAACATCAGTTCAGCCACTGCAACAGATGATAATAGCTCGAATCAAGGAAGAGAAGTCAGTGAGAACTGCCCATTCCAACAACTATACTGCTTAGGCATGTTTATATTTATTAAATTGATTAGTTAGCAGGAGACAGTGACTCCTGATACTTGTCCTTAAATAGCATTTCTGACATACAGTAGCTCAAATAGCATCAGCAGAAATTTGTCCAAACCCCTGTCAACCCTAGTGCCTATCAACAGACCCGCACAGTATCTTGGTATCTCTCTTTTTACATAGAGCTGTTGAGGTCGACATATTTATCAGGAATTTCTCAATGTTCAGTGTCGAATTAAAAATTATCCTCACTGACTTTGCTTTAACTCCAAGGAGGCGCATCTCATTACTTTGGAAAATACAGACCAATACAACAACTTCTACCTTTAAAAGAAATAATCTGTTGCAATTCTTCTGGTTTACCTTTCGCCTTTTCAACTGTGGGCATTTCATCCATCGTAATAAGAGGCTTTTTGTTGGGTGGCTCGGGAGAATCAGGGGAATCTTTGATAACTTCAGCTTCTGCCAGTTCTTCTTTTTCACGATCCAAAAGACCTTTTAACCTTTTTGAGAGGGAACGAAAACAGTGAAACAAAATATGCTAGAGCAGCACACACGCTTCTCAATACCATTCTGTACTCCGCAAAGTTATATGCGACCTATACCATAAGAAAATTTCTTTTGACCTCTTGGAATGGGTGAAAGGCAACAGACATGATTAGCCAAATAATCCTCTGGATAAAGCCTTAAGTAAAGGGAAGGATCTTTAAGTATAATTTCACTTAAGTTAGTTAGCAGTATTCATGCTGCAGTTGAGACAGTTGATCATTCTGCATTTTGAAGGAAAGGCTAAGTAACAATGAATATATAAAAATACCAGATGATTTCCTATTATCTTTTCTATGTGAATTCAGACATATTCTATACCAAATCCCTTTCATCTCTGTCCCCATTTTTGTTCCACACGTGCAAGTAAAAGCAATCGTAGGAATGGATTTGATCATACACAGACAGGCATGAAAAGTCATCAGCACAGTGATGATAATGTAGATGAAAAGGTCCTCCTAACCTAAATGATCAGAGCATGCATAAAACATATGCAAATTAAGCTTACTACTATGAGGGGTTTTTGATCTCTTTAGAACAGTAGTTCGAAAGATGGAAAACAGAAGAGACTGACAGATGCTTACCACTCAGACAAGTTACAATAGCAACATGAATCACAGACAATGCGTATACAATCAATTCTGACCTTCAACTAAGGAGAAGAGCCAAATCAATCTGGATTGTTTATCTACCTGAACACTAAGCTATCAAGAGAAAATAACTGCCTGTCCCAAGATTTTAGTCATGCGTCATGTTTCTGTAAAGCAGTTTAATGTCTAATAGGTGGTGTGGTTACAACAAAATCTAACAGCAGGGACTTCTCAAGCTGCAAAGCCCTGCTAGGTGGTCAACAACTTGTCCAAGAACCATACTGCTTGTAAAAGATGTTAATTTGAAAAGTCTGATAAGCAGGCACTGTAGTAAGATGCCTGTTTTGCAGCTTGCTAATAGTAACTGATTCAAAAAACCTGGGGATCCACACTCACTGGTAATAAGCCAAGCTTACAAGCACAAACATAAAATTGAAACCTGCAACTGTTTCACTACGATTCCTCTTCCCTTTGAAGCAGGACAGCTCAAAAATTATTACACTACAGTTTTATTTCACTGTAGAAAAACCTACCTTTCTGATTCTTGCCATGACTTATCTGATTCATAGTCTTTGCCCAACTTCTCTGACTTGTCTTCTTTGTCTTCTCTCTTTCTACCTCGTTTCTTGCGCTCCTCTTCTTCTGGGGGTTTGCTCCTGCAAGCCATCAAACATTCCAAGACTCGCTGGTGTTTATCAGAGTTGTTGATGTGTGCTCGTACAAGGGTCTCCAGTTCATTCCACATAATCCGGTACTGTTCATCTCTAAGCAAGGGCAGATAAAAGATATTATGTATAGGATCACTTAGATTGTTAAACCATTGAATAAACTAAGGTTGAAAAACAGACCTTAAGAAACAAAAAAAAACCACCCCAAACTCAAAAATAACTCTGAACTGATTCTCTGTCCTCTTGTACTGGAGGTCTATCCACCAGGGATAGATCCTTGAAATCTGAAACCACATTGCACATAACATTTCCCAATTACCATCCAAAGAGTTAAGTCTAAATTGTAATAGACTACATCCACTGAAATAAAATTAACTTCCAAAAGATCTCATTGCCAAAAGGCATTTCTGAATCCTCTCAGGCATTTGCTAACTATGCAACGTCAGGATATGCAAAGGGCCACGCATGTACTGACATGCAAATTAAATGTTATTTAATTATTTGGATTAAAAAGATTCAGAAAGCATCATACTACTGTAAATAAATTCCAGTCATGTGGACAAATCTTCTGTAGCTGCATTTGTTTTCAGCCAGTTCTTGGAAACACAATGCACACATCACAGTGACAGATATCAGGATATTCTACACTTGGTTTAAAGGAGTAGCCCAGATTTTAAATAACTGTTTCAAAAGGATTTGACTATTCTAATATAACCCAATTTTAAAGCGTAGTTCATTTCTAACACTTAAGTTTCCCTTTTTATTAATTTGAAATTATTCCACTTTCCCTGTCTTAGCTTGCATCAATCTCTTACCTTTCCTGATGGCTATCTTTGCTTTCATGTTTTTTAACATACTTACAATTCTTGGGTAATAAAACAACGGGTTGTTTTTCCTAACATACAGCAGTGATATGCTGTGATAGCCCTTAAATGATGCAGGCAAAGAATTTGCAACGTTTGTTTTGTGTACATACAGCAATTATGTATTACCTTTGGCCAAATTTTTTAAATTTAGTATGAAAACCATGTCAATAGAATACTTCTGAAAAAAGTCCAGCATCAACAAATAGAGATATGTACGTAACCTTTTTGGACCTTTTCCTCTGGTACCAACTGTTGAAATAGGCAGTGGATCATTTTTCCTCTCCATATCTACCAAATTGTATATTGTTTTTTGACAATTCAGAACATCCTCATCAGTCATTGCTTCTTTTACAATCACACTGGCCAATGGCACTACCTGTAAGACAAAACAAGAGCCAACGATGAGAAAACCCATGTGTATCACAGGAGAGAAACAGGAAGAAGAAAGAAATCAAAGGCAGCAGAACTATGGAATACCACACAACAAAACCACCCCCTCTTATCTTCAATTTAGTAATAACTGAGCAGATACAAGTGGATGTATGTTTTCTTTGCTTAGCAGCACTCTAGCTGTCAGGCTCAAATATTCCACCCTATTTAAATGGCACTTCAATAATCTATTAACATTAGATATAGACTACTTCAGTGAAAATACAGCTGAAAATAAATCGATTTTGTAGCAAGTGATTTCCTATAGAGTTAATATTTCATCAAATGGCAAATGAAACAATCTAGACCGGGATACAGGTTACAAACCCCAGGATACTTACAGCTTGCATGTTGAAGATGGTAGTCTGAGAAATAATCATAGGCCAATAACGAGTATGTTTCTCTAACTGATCTTTTGCACGTTCCAATGGAATTTCAAGACTTCCATCGATCTTATATCTGGGCTCTAGAAAAGGAGTTAATCGGTTTTCCCTCATAAATTCACCAAAATCCTAATGATAACCAAACAAGATACAATTAGGCATTTCTCTAACAAAGTAACTTGCACTGAACGGGCAAAACAGCATACTCTTGCTTATCACTAACCATGTACTATCCCCACCATTAAATTTGACCCTAACAACCAGAGCCTTGTTTCTAGCTTTCAGATGTATATTATTCGAGGTGAACACAAAAATACGGTTTAAAAATTAATGCAAGGTTTTTGATGAGGAGGCCTTCTGGATCTGTAAGGTATTTCATGTATGGTAAGAGTTTTATTATGTTTTTCTAGAAGCCACTTCTGCTTGTTTAGAACAGATACAAAGGACATGTTGAAAAAAAAAAAAAAGGAAAAATCTTAAATGAATGCCAGCTGATTGTCTGCTCCATATGCAGGGTTCAAAGCTGACAACTTCATCTTTTCTATTTATTGTACAAACCATTCAGGTGCAATCTATCCTTCTGACAAAAAAGCAGGATATAGTCCTATGTTTATCCAGTCCACAGAAAAAACTTGCCAAGAAAAATGTTATTCTAGAATCAGAACAAACTTTAAATACTCATACTGTATAAGGAGCCAAGAACTTCCTTGACACAGAAAGGATTCTATGAAGCAGGCACAAGAAGCAGATATACTAAATATGTATCAGTAGCACAAAGAAAAACACTTTGACCATATAATCCAGTCCAGCTCTCCAGAAATTGTACCAACATTTCCTTTACGCATCTATTGCACTACATCTCTCGTCATCTGAGAGAAGCAACAACTTAAGAAAAAAGAAAAAAAAAAGCCACACAGAAAAGAATCTTACTGTAATCCGGTAGTCAGTAACCCTTCCACCACACCCTTCACTAATCGATGGGGGATCTTCCAGAATTGATCGCGAGCTGCTTAATACATGCAGAAAGATTTCTCCTCCATGGCTGCTGAGCATGTGACTAATTACTTTAGAGCCAGACTTGCGCGGTTGTTCCAACAAAACAGAACGACCTGTTGGAAATGAGATCAGTTTCGTTAGCTACCGTGTGCTGCAATTTTAAATTAAAAACTACATATACACAATACAGGTTTGTACCTAGCCAGTAAGACTCTGAATCCATCGAAGTTGTGTTTTCGTCTAGCTGAATGAGAACCAGCAATCTCCTTTGACTATTTACTCCATGTCTTTACACACAACAGTGTCATACGCTCTTAAATTTTACACAGAAAGACCAAAAAGCCTCGCTCCTGGGCCAAGCAATCACTTTCTCTGCAGAATATTATTCTTTGGAAAAATACATATTTGTAAGACATTAAAATGGTACATTGTGTAAGGGCAGTTTGCTGGTTTTAATTATTACAGATTATGTTGTATACCAAACTTATTTGGCCCTACTGCAGAAACTCTCTTATTAAAAAGCAACTTCTAAAAGTAACAAAATGATCTACTGGAGTATAAAGGTACCAATTGATACAATTTTTTAATGCTTAAAATAGATGTCATTTTTCAGACAGAGAAATAAAACTGCCTTTGTCTTATTTCCAGTAAAATATACTAAGCATAAAAGGATGTATTTTTTTAAATGAGTTGGTTGTTATGAGGAATCAAAAATAGGAGATCAGAAGAGAGTGATTATCTGAAATACGCTATTAATTTTGGTTCTAACAATTGTTATTAATCAAAGTACTTTTTCAGTACAGAATGTTTAGAGGAAAATACATTAGGATATAGTGTTCAAAAAAACCACTGCACGTTTATTTAGGCATTCCAATGACTCGACTGAAGAAAACATCCCATTAAAAGGATGTTTGTAATGCCATTTTGTTTGCAAACCGCAAAAAAAAAATGTGTAATTAACACTGACTACACATTACTTCCTTGGAAGAAACAGCTTTGGCTTATCTTTTTAGCATGTACTCAAAGGGCAACCTCTTATAGCAAGACTATTCATGGCAATGGGCAAGATCTTGCAGATAAGCAAAAGGTAACTACATCTAACCTACTTTTTTGACCAATCCCAGTACACACAGGTATGTCTGCTTCAGCTGACCAACATACTTAGTTGCTCATAAACCAGATAAAAGAGCTTTGAGGCTGCCCAGCACCTGCTAAAAATCAGACATAAACATAAGATGGTAATATTTTGTGATAGAGTAAGCATTGTGATCAAGTGCACTATCACTTAGTGAAAGCAGTGTTTCCTACTAAATAGGATCAAATGAAAAGTATTCCACATTTGGATTCAGAAAATAACTGCCAGAATTCAGTACTTGCTCCTTCTTTATATCTTTCCTTCCATCTTCAAGTTTCAAAACACATTCCATTTGCCTTTGAGTACATTTAACAACTTTCTTCTCCTATCTATATGATGTGTTATAATAAATTTCACATTCTTACAGTATATAGACATTTACTGCTATACAACCCAAAATGCGGTAAGTGCTCTATTCACAATATTAACAATTAAAATGTTAAATAACTAGCCAAGGACAAAAACTTACCATTAAGAAGAAAGTTAGTAAGGCATGAAGAAGGTCTGCTATTTACATCTACTGGTGAAATTCTGTACGCTCCAGTGCAATAGTGTAATTCTGAAAAATAAATGAGTAGAAAAGTTGAGAGTGTAGTTCCGCACACAGAAAAAACATCCCACAAAATAAAAGACAGGAAAGGGAGGAGGCTATTTCACAATTAGCAGGAATAAAAAGTCTAGCTGTCTCTTGATCTAAAACTGCTCCTTTCACCATCTCACAATTGTTCCAGTGCCTTCAACTCTAAGAACCTAATACATTCCTAAGCCCTATTTCA